TCTCCCTCTCTCTTCTTCTCTTCTCTCTCTCTCTCTCTCTCTCTCTCTCTCTCTCTCCTCCCTCCCCTCCCTCCCTCTCCTCCCTCCCTCCTCCCCTCTCTCTCTCTCTCTCTCTCTCTCTCTCTCTCTCTTCTCTCTCTCTCTCTCTCTCTCTCTCTCTCTCTCTCTCTCTCTCTCTCTCTCTCTCTCTCTCTCCCTCCTCTCTCCCTCCCCCCTCTCTCTCTCTCCCTCCTCTCTCCCTCCTCCCTCCTCCCTCCCTCTCTCTCTCTCTCTTCTCTCTCTCTCTTCTCTTTCTTTCTTTCTTTCTTTCTTTCTTTCTTTCTTCTTTCTTTCTCTTTCTTTCTTTCTCTTCTTTCTTTCTTTCTTTCTTTCTTTCTTCCTCTCCCCCCCCCTCTCTCTCTCTCTCTCTCTCTCTCTCTCTCTCTCTCTCTCTCTCTCTCCTCTCTCTCTCTCTCTCTCTCCCCCCTCCCCCCTTCTAGGGAATCTTCTGCTGACTCATGGCTTTACAATTCTTATCTGAGCTAATTAATTTACTACAGCCTTATCAAGATCATTGTCGTGTGCGGAATCATAAACCTGAATACCATAATAACAGTAACAAGTGGTTGGGATTATAAGATTGTAGTACATTGGCTTGTGACGTGAGAGGGAGTGTGTGGCAAGTAAGCATGTGGCAAACAGAGATAAGGTGACTTTGAAGTAGAGGCGGGGTGGCATTTCCTTCCTCAGCTGAAAGAAATGACAAGACTTTGATATTGTTTAATGTGCATCTTTGTGTTTTTCCAGTATCTTGGATGTGTATGGGAAGTTGTTTTTCTTTTCTTTTTTTTAACAGGATGACTGTATGTTGTATGATGTAATGACATTGATAGTAGTAATGGTAGCAACAGTGATAGAATGCTAATAAGGTAATATGATGAGGGCAAGGGCTTTGTACATGCATAAATCATAACAAGGAAAAATAGTGTTTTTTGTGTATCCATTAAAAAGCAAATGCAATAGACAACAGAAAAGAAATAGAAAAAATGTCTTGATCCTACTATCCTACTATCCACTTCCTGTCATAGTAAGAAATAAATAACACTATGGCAGAAATTGTAATTGTTAGATAAGTAAACATGTATTATATCTCAGTACAAGGTCCTCCCACCCCACCACTACTTCTTCCTGGGTACTTGAATCTAAACTAATATTGACCTTTTGCACCTATAGAGGGATACTGGTGATCTTGTTTGTAGGATAATCTTTAACCCACTAGCAACGGTACATTTTCAAGCCGAAAATAATATTTTCTGGGTGTTTTGTTGCCCGCCATAGGCAACAAAATCTGAGCAGAAGCTCTGATCTAGCATTGCACTGTAATGTGTGGACACCCGTCGTAAGTGGGTTAAGTATGAAGACAAAAATACTTTTTATTCGCATTTATATACTGAAGGAAACTGACCTGACCAACTGTTATTTTGAAATACTGATAAATGTCTTCTATCTGTACAGGTTGCACTAAGCTCCACTGGCAGGTGCAACAGGGCCCTCACATCGAAGGTACAAGTATGGAAGACCCACAAGGACTAGGGGTGCGAAACTGCTTCCACCCAGAGCCAGTGCACTCTCCGGAATACGTGGGAGTCTCAGCGAAGGAGGTCACGGGGAGAGAGATGCTTGGCCCTGGCTTCTTACGTCTGGCCGAAAGTATGAGAAAAGGTAAGGTGTTTATGATTTATGGACAGACATGCATGATGGATTGATATTGCCTTTATTAGTGGACTTTTGGTGTCTCATTCTACCTTTTATGACCTTTCTTTTCTTGTGCATTTTTCCTTTATTTTCTTTCCTTTGAATTTCATACAATATATTGTCTCTCAGTCTTGTTAGGCCTCCCCATATTCTTCATTATCCTCAACATTCATAGCCATGAATATCTTATGTTATTGAAAAGAGAAGAAAATCTGAAAACTTACATTTTAGAAATATTGTGCATACAGAAAAAAAATCTTATTTGCTGTAGATTTAACCAAGTTCTTCCTCTTAACAGGGCAATGTGGCAGTTAAGGGGGTGCTAACAGCGCTCAGCCTGCTTATTGGTGCTAAGTGAACGTACAAGTCCCTTTCATCTTCAAGGATGGCATAAACTACCTAAATGAACACACTGGCAACCTGTTGACAGTAGCTGAACCTGCCTCTGCTGTTGCTGCTACAGCTGTGTCACTGATGATAGGATGTGAGAATTCTTTTCTTTTTATTCTGAAATAGTTATATGTTGTGTTTTAGAAGAGTGTATGATAGGGATACCTTCTTACCTTGTACTATTTACCTGAATTCAGAATGTCAGGGGTCACTGTCTAGAATTCCTTAAGATGAAATATCTGTGTCAGAAAAACATAATTGATTTCAAATTATCAGCATTGGTTTGCATAATGTTAAGTTTTAAAGTAATTGATAATGCAGTACCTCAACAGATGGCATTGCTCGCACTGGAGCGGCTGGGTTCAATGAACTACGTAATGCAGTGTTTGCCAAGGTGGCACAGAACTCTATCCGAAAGATTGCTGGCAACGTGTTCCTTCACCTTCACAGTCTTGACTTGAACTTCCACCTGAATCGGCAAACAGGAGCACTATCCAAAGCCATTGACCGAGGGATCGGGAATTAATTTTGTCATGTCGGCACTTGTTTTCAATATTGTGCCCACAATATTTGAAGTTAGCTTGGTTGCAGGATATTGGTAAGTGAAGAGATGTTTATTTATGTTTGGATAATGAATGATTGATGTTTAAAGAAAAAAGATAGTAAATGTTCTTATAAAAATGTTTGTAAATTTTGTCTACAGGCAACAAATCGGTTGGGAATTTGCAGGTGTAACTGTGGCCTCAATAATGGCATATGCAGCCTTTACTCTGGGTATAACACAGTGGCGAACCAAGTTTAGGGTAGATATGAACAAAGCTGAAAATGCGGCAGGGAATCGAGCTATTGATTCACTCATCAACTATGAAACTGTGAAGGTTTGTGTAACTGACAAACTTGTTCTGTGTAGCAGTCACTAAATATAGACATTAAAAGAAAAGCATATCAAGTTTTTATTTACTTTCTACTATTTCATGTGTATAACTGGATAGTGACTTCGAAAAAGAATTTGTTGAATGTTTGGTTAATAATGGATTATGACTTTTTTTTTTTGTACAGTATTTCAACAATGAAGAGCATGAAGCCAAGGAGTATGACAAATATTTGAAAAAATATGAAGGGGCATCTCTGAAGACAGCTACCTCACTAGCCTTGCTCAACTGGGACAGAATGCAATATTCAGTGTTGCTTTATCAGCTATGATGGTTCTAGCAACGAAAGAAATTCTTAATGGTAAGGTTTGGTGCTACATATTTTTTTTTTTTTTTTTTTTTTTTTTTTATCTTGGCTTGTCTTTCTTGGTCTGTTATTTATTTATTAATTTTTTAGTAGTTTTGATACAGGTGTTGTGATGTATAGTGTTATAATAACTTTTCTCACTTGTGTAGGTAATTTGACCGTGGGGGATCTAGTGATGGTCAATGGATTGTTATTCCAACTGTCCTTGCCACTCAACTTCTTGGGGTCTGTTTACCGTGAGGTTCGTCAGGCGCTTATCGACATGCAAACAATGTTCACATTGATGAAACAGCCAGCTATTATAAAGGTACTGTTTCCATATTTATTATCTCTACTTGGTTGAAATTATATATATATATTTATATTTATTTACTTATTTATTTTGTTATTATTGATTGTATTATGTGATCTTTAATTTTCTTGTGAGGACATAAGATTTATAATCTTGCATTCATCTCATTATCACCATTATTTTACATATACAGAAAAAAAACTTAAGGTTTGTGTTTTCATCTGTTACAGAATGCCCCAGACTGTGTACCTCTACAAGTGACTCCTCAGAATGCAGACATTACTTTCAACAATGTATGCTTTGAATACAATGAAAATTACCCCATCCTAAGTGACCTAACCTTTACAGTACCGGCTGGAAAGAAAATTGCCATTGTCGGTGGTTCGGGTTCTGGGTAAGGTCTCTTTCTCTGACACCTGCATAAGAAGTACCATAAAGACTTGTTTGTTTGATTTTGTTAGAGTGTATATTCTCATGAAGTTGGGGTTTTGGTAATGTTATGGTGTAATAATGTTGAATTTTTATGAATAACCTGATGTGTTTCAATGAATACAGTTTACCTCTCTCTTCAGAAATCGACAGTCATCCGTCTGTTGTATCGCTTTTACGAACCAAAGACTGGGACCATTACAATAAATGGACAAGATATTAATTCAGTTGACTTGGACAGCCTGAGGAAGAGCATTGCGGTAGTTCCACAAGTATGTGATAATTTTTTTTGCCTTCCAATTGTTTGATTGTTGAGTTGATAAATGCAATATTGTTATTGTTGATGTTTGTTGATTTTATTTAACAGGATATTGGATATAGATTTAGATTTGTATTTTTATAGATTAATTTTTTTTATTATTTGAGGAGTATGTGCATGCAAGATAACTCATTTTGCATGGCATGTTCAATGTATACTGAGAAAAATTTGGTGTTGCATTTATAGATTGAAGTGTAAGAGTAAGATGGCTAAATAGCAATTCTGGAATCGTACACAAAAGTCAGATTCTACAATATGTTATTCCTTTTTTTAACACAAAACTTCCATTCTTTCAAAGTGTGAGTTACTAGCCATAATGCTGGTAGTTATTGTTCCTTAAAACAAATACTATGGAACTTTTAATTGTTTTAGGCTCGTATATAACTGATACTTTTTCTGTTACAGGATTGTGTGCTTTTCCATGACACGATAGCTTACAACCTCCACTATGGTGACCTGTCTGCAGATGCCAGCAAAGTAGAGGAAGTAGCTAAACTAGCTGATATCCACCAATCTATCCAGAGCTGGCCCAATGGCTACGACACTCAGGTAAGACTTCACTTGGGGTATCAGGTGGCCTTATGTAAAGATGCCTGTGTTTAGAAGAGTTTTGTTGAATTATAGAAGTTGAAGTAAAAGTACTGTGGAGCACTGCTTTCTCCTTGTTTTTCTCTTAATCTTTCTCCTCTTCCTCCCCCTTCATTCTCGTTTTGTGGCTCACATACCAATGCTTTTACCTCCTCCTCTACCTCTTCTATTTTGGCTTTTTATTTACTTTGATCTGATTCACAGGTTGGTGAACGTGGCCTGAAACTCTCAGGTGGGGAGAAGCAGAGGGTTGCTATTGCACGAGCCATCCTGAAGAACGCACCGATACTAGTTTTTGACGAAGCAACTTCTTCGCTAGACTCCATTACAGAACAAGTAGGACACATTCAGGGATTTCCTCAATTTCATATAGTCTTTAGTGGGATTTTGAATAATAGTTTGGTTGGGGAGTTAATTGTGCAGGCTAATAATTAGTTACTAATTTAATAATGTCTTTTTTTTTCTTCTTCTTCTTTTAGAGTATAATGGAAGCTCTGCGCCATGCAACCAAGGGAAGAACCTCAATCTGCATTGCTCATCGCTTGTCAACAGTCATGGATTCGGATGAAATCCTTGTGTTGGCTGAGGGCAGGCTTCAGGAGCGCGGGACACATCACCAGCTCTTGGCGCTTGATGGGCACTATACAAAGCTCTGGAATTCACAACACAAAGTGGATGAATAAAGTTGTGATGTAATGATTATACTGGTAGTTGAAAAAAATGTATTTTTCTCTCTCTTTCTAACTCTCTTGTACAGTTTTCATGTCTAGATGATCTGCTTACTGATTATTATCTTTGTTATGGTGTAAATACATAAATGTTTAATTTATTATTGATCAATATTTTTATTTTACTGAGGATGGCTTACCTGTCAAGAAAGAAACTGCTCATCTATTAGAAAAAGAAGTTGATAGTAGTAATCCAGTTACACAAGACAGGAAGGTTTATTGATCAGATCTAATGTCCTCCAAAAACAAACAAACAAAAATATATATACACATATATGTATATACACTTATAATTATATATATATATATATATACATATATGATATTTATATACATATATATACATATATATACACAAATATATGTATATATGTATATAGTAATTTTACTTATATTTCTGTATGCAGATTATATAATCATTTTTAAAAAAAACAGGATCTTGTTCAGTTCCAGTTAAAAAGTAGAAATAATTTTTTCTGCTAAACAAGAAATGTCAACCACTAAGGATATGGTGTACCTTAATCTAATTGGACTATTTGTAGTAATTACACTTATAAAAAATGTATCAAATATTCGACGTGGGTCATGTGTGAATGAAATTCAACCTTTGAAATTTATCACAGCATTCTTTAATTATCTAACCCTTAAGGGCCACTCATATTTTGATTGAGACATGGAGTCAGGCCAGCACAAAGCATTGTAATACTTTGTCATTTTGAAATGTACCCCCATGATTTATGTTACATATTTCAAAAACTTAAAAAAGAATGCATATAGGATGCATCATAGACCCGAGTTTGTATAGGCCTCAGGTTTACATGGGAAAAAAGTCAAACCATCAAAGGAAAAAAAGAGAGATAAGAAGTGGAGATAAACTTCAGTTTTGTCTTTACCTGCCTTGGGTTATAAAATCAGATGCAGTCCAAGGGTTAAGTTATTACACATTGTTTATTATTGTTTGTTTATTTTATATATATATTTTACATTCTTGGTGTTACCTGCAAGCATTATAACTTATGTCTTTAATAATGGTAACGACAGTGTTCCAAGGTGTTAAGCATTTATGGGAGAGAGATATTTATGGACTTATTCCTCGTAGCGTGTGAAGTGAGTTTCTGTGTTGCTTATTTAGGGTCCTGTGGAGGCACTGAAAATATAAGTCTAGTTCGAAGCACATCATCTTTTAAATGCTTATATGAGATCAGTTGTCCTGTCAAGTTCAATTACTGAATAACAATTTCTCATGATTTTGTGTATGTGAATGACTCCCAAATTTAGGTTTTGATTAACAGACAAGAGCTGATGAGAGAATTGCTCCAATGGGGCAATAAATAAACCACGTGGAGACATTTGAAGCTTACCATGCACTTGAGGATAGAATGTACATAATTTGCGGTATTTCATTAATTTTGGCTGAGAGATGTAATGTATATAAATAATTATCATTTGAATTGCATGAATATAAATAAACTTGGGAGATATTTCTAAGACTGTACTTTTGGGGAAATGTAAATAAAAAATGATTTAAAGAAACTGTACAAAATATGTAATATAATAACTTTTCCAAAATTTGTTTTTCATGATCCTTTTATTGTAAGATGGTTATAAGAAAAAAATTATTTGTCCTTCGCTATTTGATGATAAAACCCTATATAACATGTAAATAGTGAATGGTTTTCAATAGAATAAGAAATCAATACGGAAAATGAGGAGTTTTGCAGTGAGGAGAACCATTACTCCTAAGCCACTGGTGCTGGCAATAATTTTCAATAATCAGTCTGTCAGTCCTCATTCTCATATTCTTAAGTAAATCCTGACGCAACTGAGGCATGTTTGAATAAGGCATTGTGTCATATACACCTCGACTAATTGTAGAATTCACAATGTAAAAACTTGGTGCAGTGGGTCTTTACCCTATTTGAAGCCTACCAAGTCGGAATTACTCGCATTGTTATAATTCGCTCCTTAACTTTTTATTCAGTAAGTTAATTATGCAAGGCAGGCTTTTTTTCTTTGTGTCAATAAATAAAATGAAAGAACGTTCTAAAGCCAAATTTCACCAAATTCCTGAAATTCCCATAGCCAAAATGTAGTTCTTAACCTAGTGAGGGTAATTGCCCCATGTTTGAGAACCACTACCTCTGTGTATGGGGGCATTACTAAATTCTGGAAATTTTTACTCTATCCTACAAAGGAAATTTTGAAGTACAATGGCAGAGAACTTTAGTAAATATATTTTAAAATGAATGTACTTTATTTAAACAGAATACTTCTACTGGGCAAATGTTAAACAGTATACCTCACTCCACTCATATCACTGGTCTATTCAGTTTAACATTAAAAGCTCAATTGCAAATGTCACTTTCAATGTATCATTTAGTGTACTTGGTATGCTGCCATTCTCATATGAGAATCCGTTTCATTTTTTATTCATTAGAAGCTGCAGTAACAAAGTATCAATATCCAACACAGAGAAAAAACTGGGTAGCTGTAATGAACTAATTGAGTGTTATGGTATGCAAGCCTTGTTTTAATTTTGCATATCCATATTTAATATTAATTTTTATTTTGTTTATATTATTTTTCTTATCACTATATATTTTTTAAGATGAAAACTCGCCTTCTTACCCAAAATAAATACTCACATCCAGTATTGCATTACTTTCTCATTATAGTAATTATTTGTCTAAACTTCAGCTATGCATTACCAATCATCCAGGCTCATTATTTAAGACCATTACTTCCCTTGTAGGTATAATAATAAAAAGAGAAAAAAATGCTCCAACCACTCTTTAATCCAAGCTGCTTATCACAGTTGACAAATCAGTACCAAGCTGTAAGTAAGCTATCTGGAAAATGTAAAGACTGCATATGCAGGACTAAACTATAGGTCTGAGGCATAACGGAATTAACCTAAGCTAAAAAAAAAAGAGAAAAAAAAAAAAGAGCAATAATTCCTTGTTTCATAGATGTTCTGGGTAATTACGTACACAGGAAGAAAGAAACGTGTAACTTAAATTTATACATTCTGCAATATCAATTCCTCAAATCAAAAATACTTCTGGGCATAGCGTGGCAAGGGAATCTCAATTGAGGAATTAATATTAGGAACCAATTTTACCACTGGTATAAGTTCCTACACTGTTGACTCTGGACTACTCTCTTTCCTGTAACACAACAGTAACAATGATCAATAAAGCTGATAATGATATAAATAATAATAATAATAATAATAATAATAATAATAATAATAATAATAATTAATAATAATTAATAATAATAATAATAATAATAATAATAACAACAACAATAACAATATATCAAAAATGAATACACAAATACTGCTATCATGATGAAAATAAATAAAAGTTGTATTAATGATCATCAATAATGACAAATTACAATTATGAAAAAAAACAAACGAACAAAAAAGCAGTGGATAATAGTAAGGCAATACTAATACTTATGGTGATGGCTGATAAAACAGTATTAATAATATGTAACAATAACTGAATAATTACAGTAATATATAATTTATTTTTTATTAGTCAGTGATAATAATAGATAATAATACTGACAGAAGTGAGTAATATTAATTACATCAACCAAAAATTACATTAACAATAATAATGATGATAATCAACAAAAATTAATACAAAAATAATAACCATAATAATAATCAAAGTAATAACCATAAAAATAAAATAATAAAAGAATGATTAACATAGCACTGATTATGACAATGATACTAATGAAGACAATGAATATAATGCTAATGAACATGTTAGTAATAAGAGAGATCAGGATTATGACATTATTGGAATGATTCTCATAATGATATTCATGAAATAAATGAACATCAAATAAATAATAACAGCACAAACAGATATTACACAACTGCTATCAGAATAAAGCCCAAACTGAGTAGTCTTATCACCTGTACCATTAAAGCTGGCCTGCATAAACCACATCCACACAGCAGAGGAACAAGTACCATCAGAGAATATACCGAGAATTAAAATTGTTCTTATTTTTAAGATTACAAATGAATGCAATATATAAGTAAACCTTTGTGAGATTTTGATCGCAAACCAACATTCAAAATTAAATTTTGTTTATTTACACAGAGTAAGAACATCACACTGGATATACAGCAATAATGTAAAATAATACATTCACCATCAAGACTGATAATTTACAGTAATCATAATTCTGAATAAATCATATGTATTATATACTTTTGGCAGTTTGGCAATAAATACCATAGCAGGTATGGAAGATGTGCAGCAGGCATTCCATCTCTACATATGGCACTTTGATGTTTCCTTTATGCAAAAGGTAGCAAGAAATTTTGCATTGTAGCTCTGGAGGATTACCAAATATGTATAGTTCTTAGCTGCATATTAAGGGAAAATCATATGCAAGTATTAGAATGTCAGTACAAGGCTTTAGAGGTGATAATCTTAAACCCTCTTGCAACTAGGCTCTGCCTCACATCTGGAAAGAAGACACAGAAGAGAGAGAGAGAGAAAAAAAAATAAATCAAAATCAAAATCACAGAGATATAGTAAAAATGAATGAAATCTTTTATCATTCAAAAACATCCAGAAAATCACTTCACTTTAAGAAGACACCAAGGCAGAATCATGTGCCCACAGTCTACAAGTCTGCTTCCCAGAGAAGTATTTCAGTTCATAGTGCTAAGCTTCACAATACATCAGACTTTACAGGTAATGTTCACTTGTTTCTAAAAGAAGTTAAAACACCTGCAAGCATCAGGTAACTGCCAAGTACTCTGTCACAAACAGAGATTGTCATGAGAGGTGAAAAGTTCAGTGTTGATGCAAGTCAGGTTTCTTCTACATTTCTACAGTTGAAAAATTACAAAACAAAATTAAAACGGGTATAACTGTTCTCATATTTTATTTTATTTTATTTTTTGGTTTGAGGTATTTACATCTTGAGCTCAGACTCTTACTCACAGCTTGAGCTTTTTGTATCTTGTATCTTGTTTGTTCAGCATGATCATGCTTAATATGTCAACTGTTCAAGACGTGACATTAGTTTGAACTCTGGCTAAATTCTTAAAAATTATATCTGAAGTTCTTTATTCCCCACATTATATAACAGCAGACAGGTTTACCTTCAGCACTGACCAGTGTCCCAGGGCATAAAAATTGTATAAAAAGACATTGTGCTACATAGGTGTTGGGTCAAGGTACTTCGAAGGTCATCAGGTGCTGAAGATACTGCAGCAAAATTGCCTAAATTCTCATTACCACTCCCTGACATGGAATAAAAATATAATAAAACAAGAAAATATGGTTGTCTACACCTATCTGTAGCTTTGTCAGAATACAAATAAATATTCCATTTGAAGTTTTGCTTTTTCTATATCTCAAACACCTTTAACATTTAATATCTTAAATAACCCTATTTAATTCACAGCTTTATCAGTAGTATACACTCTTTGTGACAAGTGGAATAATAAGGAAGCTAGCACTTTCAACATGATCAGACTTTTCTTACACATTATTATCTATAAGAAAGAAAGAAATAGTAATAACAAAAGTAAAAACAATCAAAATAACAATGCAAGACACAAAATAAGGGGAAACAGTACTAAATCTTTGCAGTACCTAACATTTTTTTCTTTTAAGAAAAATCTGATCATGCTATGTGTATGGAAGTGAGCCCAATAAAGAACTGATTATGAGTAAGGCCATGTCCTAATGTCTTTCATATCATTATCCTTTTTTTCTATAGAATTTGCTGTCTATAATAATGAGACCTAGTGGCAGATATAGAAACAACAAGTCATGAAACCTTTTAAAAGGCGGGTCATATCTTAACGTACCTATAAAAAAATATTCTTCCATAATGCACTTATTACTGAGTATCTGCTTTAGTAGAGTTTTTATCTTTACTTCATTTTCATACCAAGATCTTTGAAGAACAATACTTTCAACACCTATCTGAAAACTATTCCACCCACAGCACAGACAATTCAACATCTTACTGTGTTGGAGGAAAGACACCTCTCATGACTTCAAAAGGAAGCCAGTGAGATTTTTAAAATATCATTTTCGCTTTACATCTTTTTTTCCTCGAGAAATATATAAAATGAAATACAAAGTGTGAGAAAGAAGTTCATCTGCAGAAAAAAGTTAGATGGATATCCAGCCACACATGTAAAGTTCTAGGAAAAAGGAGGTCCCTCATTGGCAGATACATTGTACACATTTAGCTAGTGTGTCTGGTTCAAAATAACCAGCACCCCAAAGAAGAAGAAGAAGAAGAAGATGAAGAAGAAGAAAAAGAAGAATAAATAAATAAAAAAAAAGATAAGGAGAAACCTGCTTTTTTCCTATTCTGTTGCATTAGACAAAACAACACCTAAGATTATGGCACATCTTTTACATACTGTATATATATTATTCAAGTTTGGGATGATCACAAAATAGATGACATTCGGACGTTAACTGTTGGTTTCCCGATAACAAAACTACAAATTACAAACATTCTGAAAGAGATAACTTACAAATACCAATCCCAAAAAATAATATTCATATTAAATAAACTGACTTCTATAGCTGGGGAGGTTCTCTACACTAATACCAATCTTGTCTCTGAAAACATTTAGCCTTCCTAACTTTACATTCTATAAATTAATATCGTAAATGAAAATGTAAAAGAGGGAAACCTAAAAAAATAATTACTTCTGAGATCTGAAAGAATAAAAAACCTAACCTTAAGAAAAAGAAAAGAATCACAGACTACATGAATGTCTACAATCTATCATAAGGTAAAGAACTTGAAATAGACAAGGCAACGGAAAGCTTACCACTGACTAGAACATGAGCACAGAATCAGATTCTGAATCGACTTTGGTTTTATGGGAAATAGATTAGCATCATGGTAATGCCCGAAATGGTTCCTAAATGTTAGAGGTGCATGCAGGGGTTACTGGCAGCCATTCTCAAATGCATCACAAAATGCAGATAAGCAAGGAGTTTTCCCTTAACTTAAATATCACTTTGTTTCATTCCCTGCTTTTGTCTCCTATTGGATTAAAAATCTACAGATGGCATCAAACACTGTTACATTTCAAGACCATTTTTCAATACACAGAGTTTATCTATTTCTGTTCAACACACTTACACTTATTCTGCTGCTACATCTATACACTTCTGTTTATTTCAAATCTTCTAATAAGTTTTCCTTTTACAGGTGATGCAATATTTTTGGAACAACACTCTTCTCCACACCTTTACTTCTTTTACAAAAAATTAAACTTTCTCTTTACAAAATAAAGAACATATATTGCTTTTGTCATCCTCTTTAAGATCACATATTTCCACACAAGCATAAAAAATTAATCACAGTTTTAAATATAGCACAGAGCTGCCAAAATAACATAAATCTTAAAATGTACATGTAAAATACTGGAGATTTCGAGCTAATAACCCTTCCAAAAACATCATATAAAACTAATAACATGGAATTATACAAAAACACTTTTCCATTTTGTTTGAGTTCATTTGCTTTTTAATTTCCAACTGAGGTTTTTATGAGAAATACTGGTGATGATGACTGTTTTTTCCTTTCCCTTTTAGCAAAAGCATTCAACTTATGAAGAGCTGGAATTGTGACCACTTTTAGCTAACATTACAGAGGCTTGTGGCAAGGCAATCTTATGATATATGTGAAAGATTGTTTCTAAGATAAATAAGCTAAGCCTCGTTTTTCTTTCTTCAAGAAAAAAAGGAAATCCAAATCACAAAGTAATATAACTTTCTTCCATTATCTATTACAGCTGAAGAAAATCAAATGATACGCACAGGCTTTTGTTTCACACCAGATATTTCTCATATAAACTGTATTAGACTCAGATGAAGACAGACCTCTATACGTGCTAGAAAGTAAGGATAGGGCCAGTTCGATGGTCAAGAATATCTGAAAGAAAGAGTCGATGAGTTATATCTCAAACAGATATTTTAATCCTTTTGTTAATACTTCATTTGTGACAATTTCTTCAGAAGTACTTGATATCAGAACCAATAACAAACACATATTCATGAGAGTGAATAATTCATAGATTATGAATCTTCAAACACGATGTTATTCTAAAAAATAAAAAACAAATTCTCATATTATAACTTTACCTGTAATGATAGTGAACCAGGGTAATGTGACGTAAGTGAGATACGCATTGAGAGGAACTGACTGGGCTCTGCGGGATTCCTTCCAGAAATGGAAAGTTTGTGTGAAGCCTTTGGTTGTCCAGAGTGGGTTATAGGCTCCATCATCCAGTTCTGTAATTATTGGCAAAATTTCTAAATGGAACTTCACACCACAGAAAATATGTGGGGGCTAAGGTGGCTCTAAAAATGCCTCTTTAGTCTTCCTATATTTGTATTTCCTGCTTTCCTCAATGATGATGCCATAGCTTGAGTTTTGATAACACTAAAATGTTGATCAGCATGTAAGTTATGAACTATATAAAAAAGAATACATGAGTTTCTTCGAGATCTTTTGTGTTTTATATCCAGTGATTGAGTTTAATGCTTATAAGAATATTTGGTTTCAGTGTATATCCTTGGATACCCCTGATGTCCAAGGATATGCTGCTACGAATTTCAGACTTTTGCTTTAGCTTCAGAATAAAGTAAGTTTTCTGATATGATATGATGGTGCAACTCGTCGATGCTCTGGAGTTGCTAGCTTATTTAGTTTACGTTGGATATATATGAAAGATGTATAATTTTGGGGAAAATAATAGTATTACTAAATCATTTTGCTCTGTGAGTAGCAAAACAGATAATCTGGCATGGTTCTGGAAGTAAGGAAGCTGCAAAATCAGTGGTATACCTGTAGTACAAAATGTAATGTTCATATATTCATATACAGCATATGTAAAAGTACAGAACGTCAATTTCTGATCTGGTTAACTCTGAATAAATCGTCTGGTTAAGTTCAGTGACGTTTGGCCTCAGTTACGCTTTGTCTGATTTAGTTTGGCGAGGATAACCAAACTAGCTTCAGTAAAGGAGATTAAGGTCCATTATATTATATCAGAGATAGATAACTCAGCCAAATGCAAACTAGAATACACTTGTTTAGTTTGGATATTTAATAAAGGTACGTTATATGTGGTTGGAAAATTTAGCACAGGGAGGAGGAACGAACAGGTCCACTTTGGTTTAATCTACTTTTAAACAATTTGCTCTACTCTGCCTTGATTTGACATGGAAAGTTTATCCTGTTTATAAAATGGTATGGTTATACTAGATGACTATTTCTAAGTCTTTTTCAATCATGTAATGCATGGCAGTATGTGACTGTAATTCTGATGTGATAGTCACTTACCAAGGGCACTATCTGTACAAAAACATAAATAAATAAATAAATAAAAATAATTTTCATTTGACTAATACATATCAGAAATGGGAGTAAAAAAAGCTAAATAAATCTAGGTTAAGGTAAGTACATAGGATGGATAAAAAAGGGTAATTACAGAACCATTACATATAGAAGGGAGAAATGAAGAATCCTTGCATGTAGAAAGGAAAAACAAAGAAAGGACCATTACATGTACTGGGGAAAAATGAGGAGAGTATTCATGAATTCTTTGTATTTGATGCTAAAAGATCCTTCAGAACCAAGAGGCCATATTATGAATGGTGCAACTGCAGCTATGCAAAGAATGAGCAAGATGCAGCCATATCCTCCTTTTGCATGGCCAGAACAAAAAATAAACTGAAAATGATTGTTTTTAAAATTTGATCTTTAAAAGGGAAAAATAGTCAAGCACAAAAGACAGTCTCCATACTTGAAATATAGAGGAAAATGCTTGCAATTCATAATTTCTCCTTGGCATATCTCAAATTTTCATGGTTCAGAATAATCCACACTACATCACGTACCAGTGAAATACACTAATTTTTAAACAGATAGTACTTACAAAATTAAAAAACAAACAGAAAATGAACTGAATGATAATCAAACTAAGCTTACATCAATCCTCTAAAAACAAAGTTACATAAACAACAGAATACTATAAGAGGAGTAATTCTGGACTCAAAAGAGGTGCAGCTGTCTTTCCTTTGACACCTCCAGAGACAAACACATTGTCCAGTGCTAGTGAGAGGCATTTCTACAGCACTAACATGCCTGTTCTTGTTAAGGTGGAGAACAGCCGGGTCTAAGAAATAATAATTCTCAAAAATCAGGCAATAATTGGTATGGAAAGGTACATAAGAGGAAAATATGGATGTTGTTAGTATTGGTGTTAATCATAAATCAGCATTTCACATTATGATAATGTTCTAAGAAATCCTTAAACCTAGAAAATGTGGTAATAGTTTCATGACATTTGATAGCTAGAGACTGATTCAGGCAGACTGCATTATGATGTTAGAGTTTGAAGCAAGCAGACAAAGCCAACTCAGGATAAGAGTGAACGTAAATATATACATATAAATAAACAAAAACAGCTGAAAAAATAAAATATGAAATACAAACTCAACTAAACTACATCTATTAGTTCCTGGGTCTGACACTAAACTATTTTCTACAGCATTAATGGACACACACAGATGGTGGATGGTACATACTGACATCGCAGAGAAAGTTAACTTTCGTGCCATCAGGTGTTATTCTATATGGCACAGAGACTCTTCTTTTCTTTCTCTTGACAGGACTCAGGTTTAGGGCAGTTAGAGATTCTGTTGCTGCGTCCACAATTTCAACTTTTGGAATGGCAGATATCATGTCAGCAGAATCGACAGAGAGGCTTTTTCCTACTGGAGGTGGCTTTTTTAAAAGGGGTTCCTCCTCTTCTATTTCATCTGGATCGTCGGTCATATTGGAAGTGGAAGGAATAGGTTTGGCATCGACTACTGGGTCACTCTCAATCTCAGTATCACACAAGCTTCCTAAGGAATCTGGTCCACCATCTGATGTCTCCAGTGAGGCATCAGCTGGTGCAACCAAAATTCTCTGAGCACCACCTGGCTTTTTGCCCCCAAGTTTTGCAGAATGAATTGGCGAAACTTTGGGAATAACTTGAGGTGAGGAATCTATGGAAGAGGACTGGTTGGCTTTAGAAATTTGTTCCTGAATGCCTTTGCTTATAAAAGAAGTCTCACTACTTTCCTCTGAATTAACATCAGTTCTGGACAATGACTCGATCACCACAAAATCTTTGTGTGATGAAGAAAGGGCAGTATTCTCATTGGAATCAGGTACATTTGTAGACTTAGAAGACGTTTCTGTGTGTGTTTGTTTACTGTGATCATCTGGTGAGTCAGCAACAGGGTTTAAGAGAGGATCTGATGTACACCCTATAGGAGACATGGCCTGGATACTGGACTCGGTGTGTACTAAGTTAGGTGACTCTGACCGAGAGCAGGACGGGAGGAGTGGACTGCCCTCATGAGGTGATGGAGGGGTGGAGAGACGACCCAAGGACGGCTCGAGGGTTGGGGAATCACACTCAGGCTTGGGACCTGGTGTGTCTGAGGTCTGAGCTGCCTCTTCACTAGCTTCTACTGTGGGGCCAGATTTCACTGTCTGGTCCCCGTGAAAGTGGCGGCATTTGGCACACTGCACTTCCTGCGGCAATTCCTCCTCTTCTCGTATTGTGTTGCATGCTACCACTGAACAACATCTACCACTACACACAGCTAGAAAGAAAAAAGAAAAAAAATAAACATAAATCAAATGCCAATTGAACACCTTCCAAACATAACAATAGCGTAACTGGCTTCTCAGGCAAACATAAGGCTAGGTGCAAGTACAGAACGAAGGGCAAAGGCTATAACATCCACAAGGAAAGTGTGCTGCTTAAGACAAAGAGAATTGGAAGAGAAAAGAGGAATAGAAAAATGAAGTTTTGATTGGGCAAGCTAATAAGCACTTGACTCTTAATACCCCCTGGCACAATGCCTTTGACACTTGGCAATGCATCTCTCAGGTGACACCACTTTCCATTTGTTTCTGCACTTATCACTCACCTTCCTTTGTCCTTTGCTCGTAATTACATCTGTACCTTTAAAGTCTCAAGATGTCATCGAAGAATGTTCATCCTTTTCTATGCCTAAAATATTGATCCAAGTGGTAGAAAAAAAGTATATCATGTTAACTTCAAAATCACCTCTACACTTGGTTCCTTATCTCTTGGAAAGAGCTGAAAAAATTATGCAGGGTTCTTCCTCCCTGCTTCAGACAACGGGAAATTAACAAGCATCTACACGTGCTCACAAACGCAGCAAAAGATGCACGCAAAATAAACCATGCTTTTAATTTCTGGCACTCTTTCAACAATCTTCAATGAGCACTGCGACCATGCAAAGGCACAAAAGACTGAGCTAGCATATGCGCATATGGTACATCCTTCAAAAGTATGCAGCCAAAAATCTACCGTTCTATCCTTAAATGCAAAGGCATACTCAGGCACTCAACCCGTCCTACATCCCTCCTATATCTTCACTAGAAAAGTAAATTCACCTATGTTCAATACCCTTTACTATATATTCATGGCGGATTAATACATAAATAGAGAATGATTTTGAATAAATTATATAAGAATAATACAAGTAGAAAAAGGAGAATGTGAAAAATGAATTTATTGAAAAAAGGAAGAAAGCAGTATTTTGACAGCCTTTATCATATACTAAATGATTAACACATCCCATATCTCCCCAAAGCAAATTAAAATTATGAAACTAAGCCAGCAGGTATCATCAATATCAATGTATGTTTATCAAGTCAACAGCATGAAAATGGCATAGAATTATTTGCACTTCTCTGTTTAATAACTCTTTTGAATATTTAGTTTGCCCCTGTTATAATAAATCTTCACCCATCCACCATTTCCCTATACTGACTTTGAAATAACCTATAATTGTTTCTCTAAACAAATTCTACATATCACCTACCTTTAAGGTTTCCGACATGCATCTTCATTTTCATTTCCTTCTATACACTAGTGTATTTCCCAGTCTTGTCCCCGTATATTCTTTTACTCTGAATAAATATCTGACTTCTGCAATTTTTATTTTGCCTTTTTTGTTCCCCAACCTTCTTTTACTCATAATTCATACTATTTCTATTTACTGTATGTTTATTCCTATTTGTTATTTTTAATCTGACTGAATATTCCTGTACTCATGTCATTGGAATGTAGGTAAATATATCATTTAAATTTTCTTATTTTCTTTATGATCATTTTCTTTTTCTTGCTTTTGCTTTTGCTTTTAGCATGCCCAGTAACTCTAAAGCATATTTTATTCTTATACAATTTTTTCCATGCTCACAGCGATGCCTAAATAATTAAAACATTTTCACTTCATGCCAAGTCCCATCCGATAACTCATACTTACAAAATTGAACAAGAATAATATATGCAATAAAAAAACTACATGAAAGAAGAGTAAAATGAACAATTTAAAAGATACAGAGTTAAAGAAAAGAAAAGAAAAACCACACCAGTTTCCTCATGGTTATCTAAACATTCTACAACAGTCACGTCAAATAATGCCACATACTCATTCTAGTAGAGGTTTAAATGTGGAACTAACTATATCTATCATTTTACCTGCTAACTGATCTACATATACAGTATCACTGTATTTAGTTTTTAGAAGCCAACAAAAATATTTTACTAAGGGCCCAAAAACAACACTGACATCTACAGTAATCACACAAATGCAGCTGGCTATATCATTATGTAAAACCTTGTCCTCATTCTGCCTTTTTCAGGTCAAATCTCTAGAGCTCAATGCAGCACAACAAAGCTAAGCACAAAAAAATAAAAATAAAATAAAAATATGAAAGCTTTCAATGAATACTAGCCAACTACAAAATTACGTTCCTCATCTTGTCACTTTCCTTCCTCCTGAAACATAATACCTATAAACATGCAGCACACTCACCATCTCGCACATCTCCTGACTCAATTTCGTAAAGGCCATCAGCAAAAATATCAAGCCCCTCATTCTCAGAGCGCGACCTGGCTCCCTCAGAACGAGACTTCCAACCAGAGTTGATGAAAGTGTTGAAGTTGGCACTTGGGTCACTCAGTCGGCGCTACCACATAACACAAAAAGATCAGTGGCTCTGTGCATTACATTGCTACCTCATTTTTTCTACTTATATGATGCAGATAGAGAAAAATTACAGTTTCTATTCACATATTCTTATCTTTAAGCTATTATGGAAATTATATAACAAAGAGCACCATTCATTCATAAAGGTGTCGGCTCATGTCTATTTTTCTTGACAGTAACAAACAAAAGGTTATACTTCACAATTTCCTACACCAGAATCAAAAAAACTATTCTCAGCTCATATCAATTTTCAAAATTTCTATATGATTAAAAGCAAAGTGCCTGAAATTTTCAATATAACATACTACATCTTTAAACTGAATGCTTTTCCCTTACCTGGTGCCGATAGATGAACCTATCCTCCGGCTCGTCATCCCAGTCAGAATCCCACATGTCTGTTAAACTCACACCGGGCTCAGAGGTTGGAGTCTCTACGCCTGAACCTATAAGATAATACTCATTACTTATCAATGAAATACAGAAAGACACATAATATATTACATCTTTGTCTTTATAGTCTTTAATCTTTCAGAAGAAAGCGACTCACCTTTTGGCTTGGTCACAGCCATTTCTGCATGGCCCTTCCCTTGTGGTCCCTTCATGCGCACAAATTCTATGCGCTGGTTGCTGTTCCCGGCAAAGAGTCCCATCATCATCCTCTGAGCCACCTTGCTACTCAAACTTGCCTGAGTGTTGGAAAAGAAGACTTCGAATGAGAAAAAAAGGGTCGGATCTAAATTATTTTGCATATGAAGACATATATATTCAACTCATACATGCCCAAATCCCACACCCGCAACCACAACAACACCCACCCACACCCGCACCCACACCCGCACACACACCCCTGCACGAAAGATACCTCACAAGTATATGCAATAAAACTTAATAAACTAAACTTGATAGAAAAATAGAATAACAATGAAGGTTCTCAGTACCTACCCGGGCATCGTACACTCGTTTCAGAGCATCATATCTGATTGACCCTAAAAATATGACAGCCTGACGCGTTCCAGCGTGATCTGAGGCAACCAGTTCAACGCAAACCATCTCTCCATCACGTACTAACATGTCAGCAAATACCTAGTAAATCAGGAAGAAATCTTTTAAAAAATTGTATCAAACATACTACAGGAAAACATGTAAATATACTTCTTATGCATAATAATTATCTAGCAATCATTCAATACCTATGTTCATAGACAGGAAAATCATAAATATTTACCAATGACACAAATTTCAGATAAGATACAGATAACCCTAAACCACAAAAACAAACCAATATGGTTAGCAGTACTTATCACCGAACAATACTTATCAACAAACCACAAGTTAAAAATATTTACTTCATCAAAAGTTATCAACGTGGAAGCATACACTAGGGTATGTTATTTCCTCAACTTCTCCCTTGGTGTCCATGCGGCGCCTACTGGGACTTGCATACACTTTCTGTTAAATATAAGTACAAAGTAATCAATCTACGGTAACAATACTATCAAATCAAAGCAAGCATTACAAGAATCATGTAATGCATTCTGTTCTGGTATTCATGATATATTTAAGTAAAAAGTAATTAATCTACACAACAGTATCAATCAAAGTGATGCAAGCATTATGAAATGTATTTTCTAGTTACAAATCAACCACCATTACATCAGAAGGGAAAAAAAAATCAGTAAAGAAAAGATGTTATAAAGAAAAAGACAAAGAGTTTATTTCCCTTTACCACAATATACCACAACGTCACGGAATCAGATCACAATGTTTGTCCTCTAACGACTTGCCTGAGAGTGTCGTCGGAGCACCTGCAGGTCCTTTGGGCTTGTACGAGTACATACAGCTAGTGTAAGGGTGTAGTCGAATTGGTGGATTATGAGATTCAAGTATACAGTTTCTTCCCAATCTATGTCAGGATCACCAATGGGAAGCTTCCTGCTGTCACGCCTATACACTTCTACCTCAGTCTGATGATGAGAAATAAAATAATAATAATATACACTTATACACAGGCAAACACCTTCCCCCAACTCTTGCAATACCTTTATAGATAAATGGATGCTAAAATATAAATATGTATATATAAACAACCAACTTTAACAAAACCTGTATAATATTTTCAGGAAAACAACTACACATCGTTTCATGAAATATACTGAATGCTAAATGAACCACTGTATATAAAACCACAGAACCTGTGAGAATAAACAACTACCTGGGAAAGATTTTGCTGTATAATCTTAATAAGTCTCAAAAAAATTTACTAAAAATTTATTCATAGTAATTAATATAATAAACTATGTGGATCCATAATAGCATTCCTGAAGTTAAATACATGTCTACAGGCAAACAGAAAACACATATTGAGCTTACCTGGTACTTTGGAATATACCGAGAACCTTTAAGCTGTTTCTTTCGGATAAAAAATAACAAGTCATCAGCATCTGTGGACCGATCCGTTTGGAAGAGAAAGTGCCGCACAAATAGGTCTGTCCAATATGTGGTCCCTTGCACCATCACGAACCCTGTATCTTGGAAGATAAAAAAAAGATGTGAGCACTCCATTTTAACATGTTCCCCGACTGTCACTATGTTTATATAAAACTTTCTCTTATCTCTACAAAATCACCCTTATTACACCATCAGACTATCTTACAGAAAAAAATAACTATTCAGCATTAAATAATAATAAAGATACATCTATACATGTGTTCAGTACACTCAATCAAAACAATTAAAATCATTACCAAGTTATGAGAAATGTACTTTTAATATGTTTGTGTAATCAACTTTAAACAGTTCTACTATCAGAGTATCAATTAATCTAAGTACTCTAAACTTACAGAGACCATATGATATATTTGTTATCAATTAATGCTGTTTATTGTGCTGATAAGTGTGCTCAGAGAAAATTCCTGCCAAGAGTACTTTTGGTACAATCAAAGAATTTCATGTAATAGATAGGAAGTGCATTAAAACTTTGTCATCTGATTTCAGGATACTTTTAATGAGGAAAATAAAATCAAATCTGATATGAATATCATTAAGATTATATGTACAGAAGTCTCAGAGATCTATACATAATTTGGGATTGAGGGAGATAGAAGGGGTTAGATTTCCCTCCATTATAAAAAAAATCATAATAAAAATAATAAAACAATTGATAAATTAATAAAATAGAAATGAAAGGGTTTATCCTTAGCGAAAAAATGAAATGCACTGAGGCTTAGGTAGAATAGACATAATAAAATTTGATACTAAAAGGTTTACAATCAATATTCCATGTGGTTGTCAATCATGCAGACCACAGACATCCATTGAAAATCAAATCTTCCTATTGTTCCTTCATATAAAAATGGGACTATGCAAATGGCAAGCAAAGATAGAATAATAATAATACGATGTCATTTGTTGGAGAGAAACCAAACTCTTCTCATGTGACAAGATTTGGGTTTCTTTATAGCCAGATTCATGAAAAAAACAAATTTTAAGACTGTGACTTGATAAATTTTGAGTTTTAAAAGATGGGTGAGGGAGGGTGCTAACAACCCATGCAACCCCCAAGCGGTGATGCCCCTTAAGCCTATATATGTAGCATCTTGACTCTATTATTCAAACAAAAATATATATCATTAGTTGATACTATAATGAAAGAACCATGTCATCATCTATTATCATTCATTCGCCTTATGGAAACACGAAAGAGGAATCAGACTATTTCACGTTCTATGTTACTTGAGTCTAACAGCAATTTTTTCCCAGTTCCGTAAAAGTCATTTCACATCCTTCAAACGTATTTAGACAGAACCTGCCATTTCTGAACGTACATATCCACTTCACAACCAGCATACTGTACCAAGGAATGAAAAATGGTCATGTGATGAAATATTACCATCCCAAACCACATAACACAAAACCATGATTTAAAAATACCAAACAACACATAATCATGTATTGTTTACATCACTGATCACCTTGACAGAAAATAAATCTGTCACCAGAGCCGCTGAAAGGAGAACGGGTGTTAATTAGCGTTAATGAGGCTCACCATCCTTGGACATGAGACACTGCCTCATCTCCTTGGCTCGCTGGAAGTTAATTTCCTCGATCAGCTGTTCCAGAGCTGTCACGTTCCTCAGGATGTCCTTAGCTCCCAGCCCAGCCATGGCGAGTGAGGGGGAGGAGGTCAGAGGTTAGAGGTGAAGGTTTTTAACTCAGGAGAGGAGTGTGAGTCATCGCCCTCACAGCTGTCTTAACATGGAGTAGCAGACGACATGAACGCTGTCTGTCTGTCAGTCCGTCTATCTTGGGGGCAATCCCTCCCTGTCTCTCCTCCTTCACCTGTCGCACCCTCAGCCTGACTCTCTCTCTCTCTCTCTCTCCGCCCCCGCCTCCCTCCTCGCCGCGTGTAAGATGAGTCTAAAGGCGCGATGAGCTCGGGAATGAGGTCATGGTGGCTCTGAGCCAGGGCGAGTCACGAGGCCGAAGTCGGAGGCAGGGGATTCGAACGTGGACGACGCGTTTGCCAGACGTACAAGGTTATTTGTTATTACTTGAGATAGTCTTTTCTATCTTATTCTTTCTGATATCATAGGATGTAATAAAGCGTTTTGTTCTATATGTTCAGTGTCTTAGTTGCTACTACATGCCCGAATCAGAATATATGTGATGGAATGCGGTATGACAAGAGGGGTATGTTTAACAACACAAAACACCAATTCTTGAACTTAATAATTTCTCATGTCACTCCAGTTAGTCAACTTTCTAGCTGCAGCGAATCACTTTAGATATCACAGTAAGAGTAAACAGAAATCTTCATAACCTTAATATTTGCCTTCCCCCGTGCATACTGGATGTTGACAAGCGTGTTATCGAACGCGGTTGATTTGTCAAGATAGCGTTTAAGCGCTGAATTTAATACATTGCAAGGGAAGTATAGTATGCACAAATGCATATTTCCAAGATTTCGCACAATTTGTGTATATCAAGCAGATAATGATTTTCATCATTTACAGAAAGAAGAAGGAAAAGACAAATGGTTACAAGCGACGTACAAGAGTGACCGATATCAGGCTCGTTAATCCATGGTTCAAGATCCATGACGCTTATCAATAAAGTATGCACTTATGCTCAGGGTGCACGGAATACATATCATTTTGATTAAAGACACAGATTTTTAGTGTTTATTGTCGCCTTGTCGAATTATATTGCAACGTATATATTTTCAACAAAAGCAATTACTGAATGTTGCATATTGCAAATTTAGAACATTTAGAAACTCGTTTAAAACGTGTCGATACTACTGATCATTCAGGAGCTAAGTCGATGATAAATTAATACGTGATAAAAGGAAAACTATACACGATATTCTGGAAATGACATATCTGTATAAAAAAAATATTATGCACCCGATCAATCACGTATAAACAATACAGATAAATAATCACAACTCAGCGCTTTTGTAGCAGCCTCCGCATCAACCCTAGCGCCTTTTCCCCCACCCGCACATGGCAACACTGGAACGCAGCCTTGAGTCAGTGTCAGGCCGGACTTCTTCTGCGAGTTTATCGGTGACTCATCCCCATCACGGGATCCTACGTCATTCCACATCGCGTGATCGCCAGCGGGAAACAACAGGAACGATTGCCTCATTCAGGAGCGAGTGACAGAGCGCGAGACACCGAACTCTAGCGCCATCCTCGGAAGATTTGCTGAGAGGGAGAAGCAGTAACTTTTCCTCGGGTCGAGAGTTTGTTATTGTTTTGTTGGCGTAATCTCTCCTTCGTTCATTCATTAATTCGGTTCATTCACAATGTTTTCCTCGGGTCCCAACTACAACAAGCTGAAAACCAATCTCAGACTGGCGATTAGTAGGCTGAAATTACTGGAGAAGAAGAAGACGGAGTTGAATCAGAAAGCGAAGAAGGAGGTAGCTGATTACCTTGCAGCAGGAAAAGTAAGTTATTTTTGGCGTGTTTGGTTTTGGAAGGATTTCTATTTATAATGATGATGTCAGGTCGTTGGCAGATCATTTATATTTGTTTTGTTGGGGGATTGATGTGAATTGATAAATATCAAGTCATATCAATATTAAGTAAAATTTGTAATGGACTGGAGTGTTACTGATGACATTATCATTTTATCACTTTATCTTTCATAAAAAGTTAAATCCTACGATCTGTTCACGAGGACTAATCTTCTGATATATCCAAATATGACTAGAGGAATCAGTTTTGTGTATGACAATCAGGCTTTCATGTCTGACATATGGAATTGATATTAGTGAAATCTGAATTTTTCATGAACGCATTTCTTGCTCAAATTAAAATGTTATTGATATAGAAATATGATACTCACAGCTGCTCTTTGACCTTCATTCTTCACTGGTAAAACAATCAGTGGGTAATTTTTTCCAATACATCTGCTTAATGGATCATGGCAATTTTGGTATTGTTGGGTTCCTCTCACCTGTCTACAATGCAAATATGTAGGTTTTATTGCACAAAAGAACCACCAAACCCCCAATAGCAGGGGAGGGCATGAAAGTACCAGGGAAAATCTGGTAAAATGTTAATGATTTACACAAATCAGTCACCCCCATGTAAGGCTGCCGGTCCCCAACCACCGCCCAGGAAAACAAAGGATCCTCCATGTATTGATGGTATGGAGATTGTTACAGACTTGGCAACGCACCTGCATGGCGGTCATATGTTATCTCCTGCCGCGAATACGAGGAGGATTCTTTGCTTTCCTACGGGGGTTGGGGCAGCGTCCCTCATGGGGGTCCTGCATTTTTAATGGTTACACTATATTTTACAATGTATGGAGATTCTGTGTATATTTTATACATTTTACCCTGCAATTTCACTGGTAGCTTTCATGTCTCCTCTGCTATCAGGGCCAGAATGTTGGGTTTGGGGATTTCCCATGCTGTAATTCTTGTATATTTGGAAACTAGATAGTGAGAGGAATCCAGTGATACCAAAATCATCATGATCCTTTATGGATGTATTAGAAAAAATTACTCAATTATTGTTGTATTTTTTTTTAGATTGATGTGCATTTGTCTAGAAAAGAGCCATCTATCAGGGAAAAAATGGTTCCTTGACTTTTTTGTTTGCCAAAAATGATCATTGAAAGCTTGTAAATTAAGTCATTGTTAACCTTTTCACTCTGCTGGTTTAAAAGTGAGCATTGCTTGTTTACAGGTCTCTTGCCACGTAGCAGTAAATTTGTATTTTTTCGTGAATGTCTCTCATCTAATACAGTTTCTGTGTCTCTCTCTCTTCTCTTTTCTCCCTCCCCCCACGCACATGTACATACACATGCACACCCACACATGCCTGAGAGAGAGAGAGAAATCTAGAGACAGAGATGCAGAGATTGTCAAATATGAAATTGTTCAAAGATATTTGGTGTAAAATGTTGAGAAATGAAGGAGAGGGATAAGAGGGGGGTATGAGGACAAAGAATGAAACAGGGAATGAGAAAGTGTACCCCCCTTTAGTCTCCCATCCCTGGTGGAGGGGTATGGGGTGAGGTAAAGGAATAGGGGGTTATGGAGGACAGGGAAAGGACCACAGGAGGGGAAACTGTGATGTAGAATCTGCCAATGATAGTTCCTCATTCTGAGTATGGGGTGGGGCATAGACCAGCTGATGTGCATCATTAGTGCGGACAGGGATGGTGGCGTGGAGCTACAGTCTCTCTAGGGCAGCATACGGAGTCTAAAAATAGATCCAGTACAGAATGTGGGATCACTCAGCAACAACTAAAATAAAAAAAGGAAGGTTTGCAAAAGTAGTGGACACCAGATTCATTCTGACAATCTCTAACCATGTTTGGTATTTAAATCATGTCTGTAAATTTCACGTTTTCACAGGCCAAAAATATACAGAATTAGTGGTTTACTAGTATGACAGCTGCTTACTTTGTGAAAATTGGGTGGCAAAGCAATCCACCAAAAAGGCTTAAAACTTTCAAACTCTTTGCATAATTTTCATGTCATATACATATTTTACAGGTAAGCAGTACACAGAATTGATAGTTCAGCAGGTGCTATTATTTTTTTATTCTATTTTTTTTATTGTAACAGTTGTTATAAATAAAAAGGTAAAAGATTAATGATACAAAATAAAAGCATTTAAATGTAAGACCTTTTGGTAATTTGGTCACCATGAGCACGACCATTGTTTATACAATTTGGGATTCTCCTTGGCAATGTATTATTGTGGTAGAATGTAAGTAATAAAGGTTCCTTGGATCTCGTTGGATCACCAGAGGTATGCACGTTATATTGATCACTTGAATTTTTTGTCATCAGGGTTTATGTCTTATATTTTGATTTTCAATTTGTAGCAACTGTCTTAACAGCTCCAATACTATTGATATTATATCATGTCAGGAATTAGAATTTTGACAGCTACTTTTTTTTGGTAAAGATATTTCAATTTGAATCAATGATAACTCGGATTTTATGGATAGCAAATGTCACATTTACATTTTGGATGCATACGTTTTTATGATAGTGTCATTTGTCATTTGTAGTCTGCATCATCCGATGTATGGTTGCATCAGGCAGTGTTGTGGCTTTTGTGCTTTACACTCCAGAAAAGACCAACAGAATTCCACCATGGCAGTTAAGAGCTCTGACAAGTTCCTTAGTTGATGACAAATTGCTAAAGGGGTACACCAGTTCATATTTGCTAGAAGTCTGCTAACAATTGTTTAAGTGCAGAAGTCGTTGAGCTAATTGATGTGTAGAGTGGCAGATTTTGATGAGCAGTTGTGGGCATAGCTATACCCGGTGCAGCTTCTTTTGCAAACCTAATAGCAATATCTGATGTGTACTCTATGATCACTATCTTTTCTTTATTTTCAAGTATATAATAAGTTGAAGTGTTCATCTCATTATTATTATTTTTTTTTTTTTTTTTTTTTTACAAAATTTGAAAATATTTTATGGCATTTGTTTTCACATATATTTTTGTTTGATATGAATGCACAAAGCTCAGTCTGTGTATGTTGTATTTGATATTTATAATGATTATAGAGTAAAGTAGTTGCAAAGATGAATTTAAAAGTATTTGATAAAAATATACTTATAATGTGAAAGGAGGAACAAATTTTTACAGGGTTTTTGTTATCTTGAAGTCCAAAATAGATTTAGAGGTGTTTCAGTGCATTAGTATTTCATCATTGTTTAAAAGTGTTTATCTTGTGTAGTTAAAGTCACCAAGGTGGGCAGATTATCCTACAGTAGTCAGTCATTTCTTGTATTTTATTGTAGAAATAAAGATACTGTTGAGTTACATATAATCGTAAAAAGAGAAGAGTAACGTTTAACGCTGTGAATAGTATGTACTATCCCTTTGTATAATAACATTTATTTTCATTTCAGGTTGAGCGTGCAAAGATCCGCGTTGAATACTGTATCCGGGAAGATTATTTGGTTGAGGGTATGGAGATGACTGAATTGTACTGCGACATGATATTGGCTCGTTTTGGTATCATAGAACAAAGCAAGTGAGTGATTCATAGAAGAAAATACTAGTATGCTATATAGGTGTTTCTATATAAATGATTCATGAAAACTGTACTGAACTCTGGATGTTAAGGAAATTGAGTTATGATATGATATTTCTCTAAATATATTTACTGGAATTCGTTTCAGGGAACTAGAAGCAGGTCTTGCAGAGTCCATATCATCTGTGATTTGGGTGACCCCGCAGCTTGCGACAGAGGTTGCTGAACTTAAAGTAATCTGTGACCAGCTAACAAGAAAGTTTATGCTATGGTATGCAGATTTTTTCATGGATATGAGTTTTTCTTTCTTTTTTGATAATTGTGCAGTGCGATTATTATCTTATTCATAATGATGAGAACCATGCAGTATTGACAAAAATTATCTTTCTTGGCAGGCTTGTCAGAGCAAGGAAGTGTCTACTATAAGTGAACGTCTGATTCACAAGATGAGTGTCCAAGCACCGCCCAAAGTAATGGTTGAAAAGTATCTAGTTGAGATTGCAAATAATTACAACATTGAGTACGAACGGACCCACAGGTAATACCATTGATTTATCAGTGTTCTGAATGCCACATTCAGTGCTTTCATATAATCTTGTATTATTGAATGCCATATACAGTGTTTTATATAGAATCTTGTATTAGTGAATGCCATATTCAGTGCTTTATATTAATCTTGTGGCCTTTCATGGCAATAAGATGTTATGGCAGTAATAGATTACATGTTGGTACATTATTTTTCCAAAAAGGCAAGAGCTCAAGAAGAGAAGTAATAACCAAACATTTTCTTTCACTGTTCCATATTAGGTAATGAGTGATTCCCAGTGCGAGTCTCTCATAAATCTTGATGAGAAGAACAACCTGGGCAACAACAGCATCTCGGCCCCAGTCGGCGGAGCACAGATGAATATTCCTCCTGCAGGATTTGTTGGATATCCTGGACAGCCAATGGCCCCTTTTGCATATCCTCCGGCGCAGGTATGGGAGGGGAACAGTGTAGAGAGGAATTGAATCTGATTTTGTTAATGTGTTTTGTTCTTGTTTGATTTTGTTTTGCCACTAATGTTGTCTTGTGTGGTGAAGTGTGTTTTTTCACTCATTATAACTTATAAATTCAATGATAAAACTTGATTTTTCTTTTTTTTGTAGAAAATTGGCATTAATATTTGAGATGGATAACGTTTTGATCATTTTTTTACAAACCACATGTATGCGTAGACAGACATATTGAGATAGCTTCTGCCAAATTTGTACTTGTCTAGAAGATAATTTCTAACAGTCTTAGTAGACGTATAAAGAATTTGGTGACAATGTTTCCTTATAAATCTTGATTTTCCCTCTCAAAAATTAAGTATATTGGATTAGAATTCAGAAATCCATGATATTGAAACCACTGTTTTTTATTTAGGATTTGATTTTACAACTATACATACTAGGATTATGTCTTGGTAATGGTTATTTTTGTCAAGTTGAGCAAAATTGTACTTTTTGTATTTGTTAAGATCTCATTAGCATTACAAGAAAAAAGATAGTTATAATGAAGATGGTTATTAATTAATCATTGTTTAAATCCTGTGCATCAGTTTCTCCCAGTGCTAGAATGTTAACTACATATATATTGAAAATGCACATTTTATTTTTTATTTTTTTATTATTATTTTTTTTGTCATTTCTATTCTCATTTGCTATTATTTCAATCTTTTATTCTAGTGGGTGTGAGAGTCTTTGATTTGAAGTTTATATGTACAAGCCAGTTTAGATAAGCTATATATGATTAGTTATTTTTACCTCCTCTGTTTCATAAGATGTTTGTTGTGATTGGTTTATACCGTATGATATATTTGAATATTCTTTCTACTTGTTATTTCTGTGAATTTCTTCAGAATTTATTCTTATCAGCCATTAGGCTATGCTTTGCTTGGGTTTTTGTATAGAGGAAACACTTAATCTATTTGCAGCTTTTGTTTAGAGGAGCTACATGCAGACTTGATTTATTATTAGAGCTGTTTTTTTTTTATTTTATTTTTTTTCGACAGTACTGTAAGATATTTGCATTCTAGTTTTTGTATCCTATTCTAGAATTATTCTAGAATCATTCTGTTGTATATAGATAGCTTGTTTTCTGAAGGTATTTCATGTTACCACAGTTTCAGTCAGTATTGCTTTTATAATTAAGATGTAAATAAGACTCTGTATTCAAGCTTATTTTATAGACAATTATAGGGACAGCTGTTATTTTTATATATACTTCATGTTTTCTTTCTGTAAGAATACATCATTTTTATGGGGGGGGTCCTTTCTGCCTAAGTAAAAGACACAGAAAATAATTATCTAAAAATGTATATGATTGACATCTAATGGAAATAGTCTTCTGTTGTACATACCATTACTTTTTTTTTTTTTTTTTTTAAGGCGAGTGAATATTGTATCATGGAAACTGGAGTTGCTTTTTTGTGTTTGTTTACTTTTTCTGGTGCCATTCTTTGGCTCGTAAATTGAATTTGCAGATTTTTTGAGACAGAAGTAGCTTAGTGATTATTTCATTCTTTGTGGTCATACTTTTGCTTTTGATTTGTCAAGAGTTTGTCCTTTTTTGTTCTGCCCATCTTCATCTTCATGCTGTTGTGTGTGGCGTTTTTTTTTTAATTTGAAGAACATGAAGACTTTTCCTACAAGAAATGTATGCTTTGCTATTGTATTTCAGTGTTGGGACTATTTCATCTTTTAATTGATATTTCAAAATGAACTTGGCAGACTGTAAGGTAAATTTAGTAACATGTTTATTTATTTATTTATTTTTTAGTTTTGACTTTGGTAGGCATTTGCATGGATGTTTTGTTTGTTTACCTTTGTTTTATGATTTGCTTTGTTATTAATTGTTATTTGTTGCTTTTAAGTGTTCCATGGCTTTCATAAAGAATTCAGGAGTGTTAGTGCAGAATGCAGCAATTGCTTATTAAGAAATTCTTTGAAATGTAAGTGGAGAGAATGATATAAATTTATAATGTAGAATATAAAATCTTTGAAGCTGAAATGTGATGCTCTCCCTCCCAACTATCAACATATTTTGTATAAGATATGAATTAGGTTTTAGTCCTAGTCTAAGGCTGACTGCAGCAATGATAAGAATGAAGTCAACATCATAATCTATGCCAGGTGCCGATACCTTCACAATCCCTTCAAGAGGGACAGGGATTCCACAACAGCTCCAGCTTGATGCCACACCCTGATCAAATTCTGCAGCCAGTTCCTGTGCCAGTTCCAACACCACATTTACCAGCAACACCAAAGAGTTCATCTCCAGAGATGGGAGGGAACCTCAGTCTTCCCTCTATTCTAGTCACGAATCCTCAGTCTCTCACAAACTGCTTTGAAGAGTTTACCCAAACTGTGAAGGAACACAAACCTGACATCATTGTTGTTAGTGAGACGTGGTTTTCAGAAACTCGTCCAGCCACCAACTACACCCTCGACGGATACAAAATGTTTAATGATGACAGAGAGAGCAGAGGTGGGGGTGTGGCTGTATGTTCTTGAGTGCCTTCACCCAAATGAAGTAAAACTTGATGCTCCCCAGAACTAGAGTGTGTCTGGGTTGAGGTGGATAGAAAGCTGGTAATATGTGGACTGTACCATCCCCCAAGAGCAGCCACAGGACCATTGCTGATGGACCAGATTGTTAACACAGTCCTGGATATTCGATGCTTTAGACCGGACATCGCTGTTGCTATTGCAGGAGATTTCAACAACTTGCACCAAGGCCGTCTCTGTGCAGGTCTAGAAATGACCAACCTTGTGCAAGAGCCCACACATATGAACTCGATTATAGACTTGGTGCTAACTGACCACCCAGAGTGTTACAAGAAACCTATTCTTTTGCCACCAGTCGGAGAGAGTCGTCATCATTGTGTTCTAGTGCTGCCAAAGACTGCCACAGAAAATGATGGTGTCCAAATGGTATTGTGGTTACACGAGCAGGGGTGTTGAATTGACCTTCTGCATTGTTGCCTGTGCTTAAGGATTTTAAGCAATATGCTTGTGATGCTTGTTAAAGTGATGGCATTTTTTTTGCTCACCAAAAATATGCTATGCACTTAATGCTTTGTTGGATATATAGAATTCATGTACTTTTTATTATTTCTATTGGTAGTATTTTTTTCCAGAGTGGAAGTAAATGTGTTCTGAGATTTAAAATCATCTAATTGATTTCAGGATCCTGCTAGCTCAGTGTTCAACTTGCCAAGTGTTCCGGGGCAAGCACCATACCCTCAGGCACCATACCCAGGGGGAGCCACAGGGTACAACATTGCTCCAGGTGGACCCCAGAACTTCCCTCCAGGTGGACCCCCCCCCTGATCCCGGAGCTGACCCTCTCCCTCCCAAGATCAACAACATGGATGTGAGTTGACCTGTGCCTTAGGGTTTATTAATGTTTTGTGCTGGATTATATGTGTAATTGCTAGAGCTTGCTTTTTTTGTTTCCTTTATTTTGATATCCCCATAGAAAGAAAAGTGATGGATGAAAAGATAATATTTATGTATGTATTGATGCTTATATGAATATATTGCGTGTGTATATATGTATGTTTATGGATTGGTATAAGTACATGTGTAACATGAACAACAATAAAGAAAAAATAAGGGAACTATAAATATTTCAAGAAGTACATAAGTTTTAGAACGTAAATTAATGAAAATAATTTAGAAAATAAATTTAAAAATATGTAAGGAAATCAGTTAATACACAAACAGTAAAAAAAGAAATATTATGTATGTTTGGTCAACACAGTAAGAAGCTACGTATATTGAATAGTAATTCCTCAGATTGAGCAATACAACATCTTATATATATTGCGGTAAACTGGCTGATAACATATTGTAGAGAAAAATTTGTCCTAATCAAACTTCAAAGAAATGTATATGAAGGAAAACTTGTGTTGCAGTTCTGAGTTTCGATAATATATCCCCATTATTTTTTTCAAAATTATTATCCCTTGATGAATGTAGTTATTTTATATGCTTCTTATGTTTAATTTCTAGGAATGTAAATCAAAGATAGCTTGAAGCTGAGCAGTTGACATGTACTTTCTAACATCTGCTTGTTATGTTTGGAAAGAGAAATGAGTGTGTGATATGAATGCTAGAATGGTGGCAAGAGGAATTGGAGTATAATGAATGATTAAACCCAAAACCTCTTCTTTTATGTTCCTTTCACATGAACCTTCATTATGATGAAATGTTTTGTGAGTAGACAAATATTTGATTAGTTCTTGTTATTTTAATTTTTTGTTCTTATATCAGTTGAACTGTTTTTTTTTTTTACAGTCTCTGTTGGATTATTTTGAATTACTTTTTTAAAAATTGAAAACTAAATGAACATTGTGTTGCATGTCCTGATGAAATGTGTGCATTTGTGAGTGGATGACATCCAGACTTGCTATCTATTTTTTAAAGTTTCTTGCTCAGTTTTATGATTAGCTTTCTGCTTATTTGAATTATTGTTGAATACCCCAAGGTGTAAAACCTATCCCCAACACACTGGAGTGAGAGAGCCTGCACATGCACGCCCGGTATGAGCACCAGCATGATTGCACCCTGTCTTTTGTAGAACGTTAGTGGGGCTGGAACCGGAACCGGAACTGGCAAGTGGGATGAACTGCTGGGGCTAGACAACTCACCCCCTCCTCCCTACTCCTCCTTCATGCCTTCTGGGCACACGGGAGACTTCGGGCCCCCTCCCAATGCGCCACCTCCTAGTTTACCTGGGGATGGCCAGCCTGTGCGAAGGGAATTCCCTCCAGATGTGTCACCAGGTGCTACCAACCTGAAGGTAGTTGGATGTGGTTGCTTTACACTGTCGTCTTATGGAATAGTTGTACAATATGGCAATTTTATTTTTTAGTTATGCTATTTAGTCAGAGAAAGTTGATTGTTTTATATTGCATGGGCTATGTGTATTAGCTCTGAACCTTTTTATGCATACATTCCCAGTCGACTATAGTTTTATTTACTAATTTTGTTTACACATACTTGGCCTCAGGAATTCATTGTCACCAAGAAGACAACTGTTAAACCAATTGCCTAGCTTATGACACCTGTTTACACTTTAACTTGATTTTCTGAATGTATTATGATAATCATATCTATGATAATAATATATAATAATAACAAAATAAAAAAAAAAAAAAAAAAAAAAAAACAACGTAATTTGAAAGATGGGTTTATCAGTTTAGGCAGGCAAGCCGTGGTGACTATGCATTTGTTAAAACATGTATAAACAAAATTCACAAAAAATATATCAACAATGCATATGCCCAGTAGGTTAAATGTATATTCATTGAGGGGTGATATTAGGTCAACTTTTTCAAATAGGTCATTAGATTTACAATTAGATTTGTGATGATCATGTCATTTGCTGATATTTAGTTTGGCTGTTTTGTGTAATAGATAATCTTTAGTATTTTTTGTTATTAGTATTGTTTTATTTTTTTATTTACTGATGTTTTTTGCATGGATGTTCAATATGCATCAATGGAAGGAATGAAAAGAGATTATAAAATAGAGGTTGCATGCTTTATTGCCTATGATAAACTTGGAAATTTCAAGATGTTTCCTGCAAGCTGCATTTTATGAATTTTTATTTTTGTTGCACATCACACATTTCCTTTTATTAATATTTTTTTGGTAACTGATTGAAGACATGTTCCCCCCCAAAAAAAGCTCCAGGAGTTTGGAATGAATACGGAGCGTGTTGATGGCCCAATACCTTAATGATGCTAACGAGAGTCATCATATGGCAAGGTTTAATAAGGAAATACCTTTTTTCTCTCCAAAAGATAAAGAAAAGAAAAAAAATCACAGGTGAAAACATGGTGTGCCTAAAATTTGTTTAACTTTTTTTGTGAAAAATAAGAAAACTATAGAAAATATAAAAAGAAATTGGAGCCAGCCAGATTAAAGAGAATAGTTGTTATACTTTTAAGACTTTTTCCAAATATGCACTTCATTTTTGATTGGGTATGTGCTATAAAACATTTTTAGATTACTGGGAAAAGCTCATTCTGGTGGGTAATACACTCAGAAAAATAAAATATTCTAGTTGTAGCAGACATTAGGTTTGGTAGGCATGTAAGTAGGGTTTATACTCAGGTATACGAATGCATTTATACACATGCATGTATGCATATATTTATAAGTCACATAAATTCCTACAATCTATTTCTCTCTCTCTCTCTCTCTCTCTTCTCTCTCTCTCTCTCTCTCCTCTCTCCTCTCTCTCTCTCTCTCTCTCTCTCTCTCTCTCTCTCTCTCTCTCTCTCAAAAAAAAAAAAAAAAAAAAAAAAAAAAAAATTACACCAAAAACTTTTTGACTTTCCAGGATGGTGATAAGCCCAAGCCAAGTCCACGCTCTAAGTTTGGTGAAGGTACAAATGCGGACTTCAACCTCCCAGACTTGCCCACCATACCTGATCTACCTAGTGTTCCAGGCTCAAATACTGTCCAGAATCCCAACGAAACAACAGAAGATATTGATTTCGATGACTTAACGAAGAGATTCGAAGAGCTGAAGAAAAAGAAATAAAGTGTTGTTCGCCTCTACAAAGCAGTATGATTATGTTGATAATTTTTTCTTAATCTTGAACAAGGTCACTAGACTACTAGGAATGGACAGTTGTCATTTAATGTGCTGTGGCCGTCATAAAATATTTGATTAAGAAAGGGCTGAACTATTCATACTGCACATATACTTTTTTTTTTTCCTTTTTTTTTTTTTTCTTTTTTTTCCTTAGCTACTGATAAGTTTTTTATTATGCTTCATTAATCTTAAGTAAAATCAGGACATTTTGTTAATTCTGACTTGTTTAACTTTGCAGGACAAAGATTTCACATTTTCTTGCTGATAAGCTTTGTGTAATTATGAATTAGAATGTAAATGTTTTGATAGAAAAACATGATAAAATTTTGTTTATACTTTCAGTTATTAGTTTTCAGTTGCTTGGCTATTTTTAATCAGTGCCTTGCTATGTTTACTGAAATTTTCACTGAATATCACATGAAGAAATAAAGAAAGGTCACAATAATAAATATTACCAAAAATATATTAATACAAATTTATATATAATAATGTATAAATATTGATCACATTCATATATATATACACACCATGTAAAACTGATTGTTCCTAAAAATAAATGATTATAACAGATTGCTTAATCATAAGTGTGTTTCTAATCACCTAGTTTTTGCTTTCAATAATACTAATGTTAAATATGTGATGAAAGAGAGGATCTGAGTCCACATTTTGGCTAGATATCTTTTAAATAATTTAATTTTAAGAAATTGTGTAAATGTTTCTTTTATAAGTCTGTTGAAACTTACTTCTCAAGGTTTCTACAAAGATATTTGTAATAACATGAAGGCATATTTGGCAAGGTAATTCTTGCCCTTGCTGTCGTTTTACAATGAATAAGAAAAATGTTTGTTTACTGTTTTTCATTATTAGTTCCATTTCAAAATATATGCATAGCTATTCAATGATTGCTGTTCTGAACAACATAAGTTTAAATGTAAAGACTACACACAAAACACTAAAATTACTCGTATGAGGCATAAGTTAAATGATGAATGAAATAATCATAGTAGTATCCATTAAAATAAGCAAAATTAGAATGTTGTTACATACTTATTTATTAAGGCTTAAAAGGTAAAATATTGTGTTTGATTTCTAGACATACAGTATGCTTCAGGTTCTCCATCCTTCCCCTATTTTTAACAGGCATTTATATACAAAAGCTTCTTATATAGAGAGTATTTGGAAGAAGTCATAACTTTTTCAATAAGGTTACTTTTCAGAATCTAGATATTTGGAAGACACTTAAAAACCTCAAAATAAACATTTCCAATGCACACCACCAGGGAAGATTGAAGGACACCATTCTTAAAATTTTGAAGTAGTAAAATATCTGAAAAGTTGTAGATCAGGACCTTGTCGTAATTTTGAAATACGCACGCTTATACTTCCGACACGTAAGCTGCAAGAAACATAATTAGTTGAGTAAGAAATCTTCAAGTATAATTAATCTTGGTGACAGTAATCATATCATGTAGATCTTCAGTACTATCTGTTTTTTACACTTAGCACCCAAACCTTATCTTGTACTGAATATTGTTTTACTTTTACCTTTTCTGATTAATGAAAAGGTTCAAAAGATAGAAACATCTTGACTCTCAATATAGTCACTGTCTGTAGTCAGTCCCTATCTATAGTAAGCTGGAGTTTCTCATTTCTAGAATATCAACTTGAGGGGTCCCTGGTCCAAGGAAGTTCTTAACTAAATCTCTAAATTTGCTTTCCTCCTTTAGAGATCTTATACCACTACTTCCTCCTCAGATCTTTTCCGAGATATTTCCTTTGAGGAACCAAAGTGATAGGGTTAGAAAGAGGTATGGAAACTATGTTTAAAGAACCTTCACATTTGATTTGGTTCTGTGGCTTACAACTATGTGTTAACTTAGAGAATGGCTCCACCTCTATTGCATTTACCATTCCCTCTGAGTGTGCGTGAATTCAGTATTTGAGAATGAAAGTGAGTGAGTGAGTGAGTGAGTGAGTGAGTGAGTGAGTGGGGTGGGGCATGCCTTCTACAATACAAGTCTGCATATTAGTAGGGAAAGATGAATAACAAGGATTATCAAGTTTATTCATCCTCAATCATAACAAAATAAAATACCAAATTTTAAATAACTATTCAAACAAAATATAACAAAAAACATGATGGGACTCCTCTACTTCTGAAATTTCACACTGGGTATGTCCACTATCATGTAAACTATCACACAGTATTTATTTGGCATTTTTCTTTTCCCTAAGAAATGCTTAAGTTCTAAAATGCTCTGGTAATTCAACATTAACATCAAGATTGTAAACATATTCTCGAACAATGCATTAGAGAGACATATTTGCACCTTTTAGCAAGGAATAAGGTGACGAACATTTGAAATGCAATATTCTTACTCTTTTTCACTTTCAGGTTCTTATTACTAAAGCTGTCCAAGCAAATACCATAACATAATCTACATTATGTCTCATGTACCTCATATAGATTATGCTGGCAAAGCAGTTTATACAAACTTCCTAAACAGGAATATACCATAATATCTGGAAGGAGGAAAACTTACAAACTACAGTAAATCACCTGAATAGAATACAAACCTCATTCCCAGAGCCTTTCCCTTATCTAACACGTCAGAAGAAAAAAGGAAAAAGAAATCAAGAAAGCTAGAAACAAAGAATGTCAGTATTTAAAATGACTTCATTTTTAATCTGCATGACTAGAAAAGGAAATATTTAATTTCCTGAACACTGCATGACATAAATGAAGCTAAATATAAAGGACATGAAATGAAAATGTCACAGCCTATATGCTTATTGCTGAAGAAAGTCACATACAGAATTTCTACATAACTAATCTCAAAATAATTCTATTATATCACATATATCTATTATTTTTGTAATCAAAAAGGAAAAAAAAATAGTTCTAATGTACATAAATTTCTGTTTTGTTCTTTGGATTTTGGATCTGGATTTTCAGTGTCTTTCGTCAATTTCTGCTTTTAAAGGAATTAACCTATATCTCGATTTACAAAATGTTTCATAACCCAATGAAGATACCCAATTTTGTATCAATAAAAGCTTTGCAACAAGGCACCACCTGACTTGATAGGAGATTACAGTCATACCTGATATACCAGTATAGTATTATTTTCTCTGCAACACTATCAACTATACTACAACCTTGATAGTCTACAGGCAATTCAACAATATAAAGCCTTATGCACCCAAGATTTAACCACAGCAAGTAACTATTCTGGAAAAAAGTTTTTAAAATATTAGGACAGTCATGCACATGGACGCTTGCTGAGCTCTGTGAATATTAATGTAGCTTTATCTTACATTACTTATATTTTGCCATTGTAATTAACAACTGATGCCATATCATCATACATGGTATAATTATTTCACTGCCTTTTCTTAAACGACTTACATTCACATATTCATACAAATAATTTTTCGATATAAAAAAATATTGTTGGAAAAAGCTAAAACTAGGAGTAATGTTATCCGACCATGGCAGTTTATGTATACAGAGCTGATGAGGAATTTCAGGAGTCTCTAGTAAGAATGTAAATATCTTTACAACTGTCGTGTCGTGGTAATAATACAAGTGCTGCTCCACTGGAATTTGAGGCTTACATCATGCCATAAGGAGTCAACCCGCAAACATAACACCATTAAACAATCCCTGCATTACTGTAACTGAGAAAGATCCGAACTGAATGATGTAAATAACAAATTAATCCTCACAGATCATAAGTATCACAATCACTTCACTTTTCCAGTAACCAAAATTGGTCTTGCTCTCTCTAAGATATCCATGTTGGGGTCTAATGTTCGACCAAGACCTTCCAGAACAAAGACTGCTAAGACCACAGCACTGAAGGCAGATTCTAGCCGTACCTGATGACGTAAGAGGATCCCTAAGACTTGTTGAAGCAGGACCCCCACATCAATCTGTTGAAAATGAAAATAAGTGTGCTTAATAATCCAGCAAATCCATATATAGTACAGCATATACAGAGCTATTTAATCTCGATGAACAAAGATTATGTTCATAGGTAAAAACACCTTCACTTGAAAAATAGGATTATTAAGTTTTAGTGTTTTCCTTTTCTCTGAGAACACTTACCTGTGATAATGCTATTGTATCTTCCCTAGCTGAATTTACAAGGCTGGTCATCTCTGCTTTGAAGGCTTCAGGGTCCTTACAGCAATGTTCACTATTATTGAGGAACAAGTCTGCCACAGACTCTCCCTAAAAAAACAATTATTTAGATACAAAAATTAGCAGAGCCAATATCTTCAGTAAATGTAAAGGCATATACAGTACGTCAAAATGCTTCTGCAATACACTAAGACATGTGAAAGACAAAAGCAATTACAATCACAATAACTTTGATGTCAGACTCATCCTCCAATGGTGGTCATTGACTTGTTTTCAATCTGTTTATAATACTAGTATGTACACACTATGGTGAACAATGTGAGTTTATGACAAGTTTTGCTGTGGATGCAACTGGTTATGGCAAGAATACTTACATCACCAAAAACCACTTGTCTGAAGACAGCCTTGAAATTGGCTAAGTCTTTCTCTTTGAGTCTGGATGCAACACCACAGTCGAGGAGACATATGCGCAGTGGATTTGGGTCTGGTTCCACATGCATGACGAAAGTATCACACCCAACATCTACCATCATGAATTTGACAACATCTCCTGAGGCTGCATTGCTGCCCTCTTCCTTGGCACTGTTGTTCTGAACCAAGATGTTACCTGGATGCAAATCACCATGCACTAAGTTGTCTACGAAAACCTGTACAGGGAAAGACACCCATTACTTAATGACCATTGAAGGATCTAACATTCTTTCATGTGCTGATAACTTTTGGCCCTTCCTTACCATTTTCAGCAATGCATCAACTCCAATCTCTGCCAAACGTTTCTTAAGCTCAGCAGGTTTGTCTTCTCCCGTTGTGCCAATGAAATCAATCATCTGCTCTCCCTCTTCAAATGTTTCAACGAGCACCTAATAGTATGAAATAAACAACTATAAAGGAGATTTTTTACAATACAGATATTAAATAACAATGATAGAGGATAATATAGCTCTATAAGTTAATACTCTTATAAGACCCAAACATCCTTTTTTTAAGGTTAATTCTACTACAGAAAACATTCAAAATGATTCTTTAGATTTGATGTGTAGAATGTTTTTTTTTTTCTTTTGATACCTATTTCTATTTTCACATCATATGAGGTTACTATAGATTACATGCCAAAGAACAAGGAAAGTCCACTTTTTGAAAAATAAATTTGATAAAAAAAGGATGACTAATTACAAAAAAAATCCTCAAATCTTTTTACAACTAGCTACCCTACCAAAGTTCCGCTCCTTTACCTTTCTTGTAACATATGGTCGCAGTATTCTTGGAAATCTGACGTAGGGATTATCGGCAAAATTTTCAGCAAACAATTCCAAATTTTCAGCTTCTAGTTTGAGATCGATCTGAAAAACAAGATCATTTCAGCAAACTCTCTGCCTAAAAGAGAAGGAAGAAATGACTTTATCCTAAACAAGGAATAAAACCTCAGTTGCATAGAAGAAAAACATAACTCACAAAGTTTTTGCCCTAATTGTAAAAAGTTTAGAATGAGAATGGAAACTTCACAGAGCCATGGAATAAGTTTTCTCATACCATTTTCTAGATCAGTGACTCTGAAATTTTACTCTCATGTTTCAGAAAAAATATATAAATTGTAAAGAATAAAAGATGCCTACATGCACAATTATACAACAACTCACCTGATATGACATCACCTCAGCAAATTCTTGTACACACTGAGGGAGGGAAAGCCACTTAAGAGGAGGATAAATTCCGAGATAAAAGATGCACAGGCCTTCATAATCTTCAGATCTCTCCTAAAAGATATTAAAGAATCAATCAATGAATTATAAATAATTAAAAGGAAACTGCTTATGTGCACAACAAATAACTCAACTTTTGTATTTATTCTTGTGAATGAGTAACATGTATGTCTTTGTCTTTGCATTAAGTCTTCATCATGATTATACATTATTATGCATTACCATAAACTGAGCATATTAAACGCAGTGTTCCAGAAAATGTGGCGCTCACTATAGTGTTATTTGTGTGATGTCTCTACACGCACACAAGTGCTTAGACATCTAGGAGTCATTTAGTAGATCTCGTAAGCTCTCCTGATTCACCTTTCCTTGAGTTTTGAAATTTTATTTTACAAATGCTATCAGTATTGATATATTATTATAGCCATTACGATTTTATAATGTTATTGAACACTACTAGACATATACAGTAAAAGAATATTTCCAAAAATCAAGGAAAAGGTTAAACAGTGAGATATGCAGTACTAGTAACTGACTTATTAATGACTCAGTACTTGTGATGCCATCTGAAAGTAAAGAATCATGATCAATAAATAAATTTACAGTGGGCATAGCAAGTATGTACACATCATCCCTGGTGGCATCAGGTTAAAATTGAAGAAAATTCACACATAATATAAGAATAATATGATGCAATAAAAACTTTCGAAACATACCGGAAACACGAGTAAATACCAGGGTGCAGAACCTTAACTGCCACAGGGACAGGCCATCCAGGTCTTCTGGTGGAGCTTCTTCCAGTGGAAGGGACTTGTCATGCACACCTTCTTGCCACTCCTACGAATTGAGAAAGATTAATTTGCATTAGCTGACAACTGTTCTCAACAAGGAATATTTTTCAATGAAATTCCCAAGCAAGATAGAATGGTAAACACATACATCAACAAACACACACAGATTGCAAAGTCAATAGGAATACATTAATGAAACTGATGGTGCAACCACCTCTACTAATGAATGTTCAGTTGTGTCTTCAAAGGGTTCCTCATCAGGTTCCAGATCTGCTTGTCTTTGTTGATCTTCTTCAGTATTTACTAATTCGGCCACCAAATTTTCTGTTACTGTTAAGACATCTACATCGGATTTACCTGAAGCATCATTTCTGAAAGCACATGTTATATTATGATCACTGCATAAAAAGCACAAATAAGACAATCTAGTAATAATAATCAATTTCATGTAACATATAATGGCAACTATGTTTCATAATACAAAATTTCAGGAGAATTTCAAATAAACTCGGATATAAGGATTGTGCTTCGTGACATGCAGTAATAAGAGTATGAGTCAATGTCCAAAGTTATCAGAGAAGATATTTCTTTGCCAGTGAAATGTGTCTTTGCCATCTTCCTTTTGGTAAGGTTAAAAATATGTGCACTGAAATAATAGGGGGAAACACACTGTGTATTTGCTTATCATGCACAGTTGTAGTCAAATTCAACTTGAAAAAACAACAACTATCCAAGCTTAAGAAAAGAGGTGTTTTCGGAGTGCAAATTGTGTACTGCATTTTAATTTTTCCCAGTGTCATTTCAACATTTATCTGATATATATTTGGTGAATGTAGGTGGCTGCTGTGATACACACAAGAGGCTTGGCACTTAAAAGAGTATTCAAATACCTGACTGAAAACTACTGGTTGTATCTTTACAATCTTCTTTGTAAAACTTTTTCTAAAAGTTGGTTGTCTGAAGTAATTTCCTATAATCTTTTCAGCTTTCTTTTCTAAATCTCTATCAGGCACTATATCTAATTGTTTTTTTCTGTTAACCACTGCACTTGCACAAACGTCTAATATTTGCTCATTCTCCTTCATAATTCCAGTGTTTATTTCGACTAATTCCTTCCCACTTTCATCAACACTTGATTCAACAACAAACTCTTTATTACCTTTTATCATCCCTGTTTCATTATTCTTCACACGTTTCTCTCCATTTTCAGGGTCTACTTTCGACATTTCCTCTTTCTCCTTTTCCAAAACTACGTCATGCAAATCTACGTTTTGCTCTTCCTTCTCTATACCTGCTCTCCTCCGCTCCTTTTCCTCTGCTTCTCTCCTCATCTGGTCTCGTTTCTCCCTCCATTCTTCTATTATCCTCTTCTGCTTTACCTCTTCTCCATCGTCTAAGCCCAATAAACTCCTGAATCCTATGACATGCATACCTAGAATGAAAGAGCAGTACCTTCTCAATAACAGCAACTTTAAAGGCTGTACTTTGCATGTGTATTAATCTCAACTGCTAGAACCACAAACTCAAACGCTCCCTCACCTTCAAATGAATCAGAAACATCATCTTCCATTTCAGACAGAATTTCAGTGAGTATTTCTTCATCTGTAATGGCTTCTGCAGACATCCAGACCTTATAAACCTGGAAAGTTATTATCAATTTTTAAAATTTTTGTAAGACCATTGACAAACTTTAAGACATGTCTATGTATGCTTTGCTGATATTAAATTGAGAACTATAGTATATCATCCCCTTTTGCATTCCTCAAACTGTTTGAAATCATATCACAAAACAAATTACTTGCATCTATGTTTTAAAAGATGTTATACACAAATCCAAATCTATGTGCAGGATTCCTGTACCCAAAAAGAGACATGATCTTCCTGAATCACTTTGATTGATAAAAGTCTTGAAAAATAGGATGAAAAGGATGACAAGAAGATAAACAAGATGAAGAAAGAGAAGAGAAAGAAGATGAAGAAGATAATAAAGAAGACAGAAAGAATGAAATATGAATCAAATAAGAAAAAAAAGGAAGAGAAAGACAATGAAGAAGATAGTCAAAGTTACTGAGAAAAGTAACATAAAAATCTAATCACATATATGAAAACAGTTCCTAAAAATATGATTCTAACCTGTGCAACACACCCAGACCCCACTGGGTTTCGGTTATTGTCAAACTTTACAAATATCTTCCTCCAGTCAGGACCAAAGGATTTTTTCATCATATATTTTGTGTACTTCCACGAGTGTGGTTTGACGCTTCTCTGGAGCTTCGCAAACTGGCGGCAACAGGAGTCTGGGAACAAGTCTCTCCGTGTCGAGGCCCACTGCCCTAGCTTGATCAGAATAGGTCCTGAGAATTCAATTCCTGAAAAGCATGTGTATCTATCACTCTAGTGCATTGTTCTCTTTAAATCAAATTATATATTTTTTCAACCATTATCATGTTACTGAGTTACAGTCAATTATAAAATGACTACAACAGTAAGAACTATACAAAATTAGCTGAATCTCTGTCTCACAAGAAAGCTTCTTTTATTTTCACATTTGATACCAAATTTAAACTCATAAAAGCAAGTGAAATTGATCAGTTTCTTATTCCAATTCATATGATTATTTGTATAACTTCACAAACTCAAAATCATACAAACATATATATATATATGAATATCATGGAAACACATTGATGGACCTTACCCCCGCAAGAGCAAGTACCACCACAATTCTTTACTCCTCTCTCCGAAAAAAGTCATGGGGTACAGAGTGAAGATCGGCGTAAATGTCGTCACCAGACGTAAAGCCCTAAGACACAGTCGAAAGGCCTCGTAGATCTCCAACAATAATTCCATAAGGTAACTCCTTGTCTTCTTAGCCTTTCTTGTAATTTCTATAACTGGGGTTTTCTTCTCAACCGAGGTATTATTAAAGGACATTGTCGGCGCCAGAAACGAACCCATTAACACTAGCTTTCCCAGCGTTTCTCTTCTTGGTTGCAAATTTCCTTTGTTCATTTTTCTTGTAAAGTTAGAACGAACTTTTGCAATTTTATCTCTTCCTAGTTGTCTACATGAGGACACAAGCTGATTATAAACTCTGAGAACTTGGACGTTATTATTTGTGTGCGGCATTCCATTCTTTATAAAAGAGGGTTGTGGCAAAAATGGTTTTGAATGATAATGCTGGGTGTGATTCAGACACATTCTTAGGGTGGTTAGGCTGTTGGACGTTTTACAGATGCCATGGGTATACATGAGATTGGCTTTCAGAGTGGCATTTGATGGAATATTTACAGTTGAAAATAAGAGAACTAAATTTTTCTGCACTATCTGGAGCATCTTGGCTTTCTAAATTGTTATCTGAAAAAAGAAAAGAAAAAATATTATGACATTATTCCTTTGTAAATCAAAATGCCACTGAAAGGAGAAAACAACAATATTCAGATAAAGTTTCATTTGTTAAAAGTATTAATAATCTACCATTTAATATTTTGGAAGCAAGAACTCCTTATAATATACTGTTATAAGAAAAAAATAACATAAAATGAGATTGACAAAGCACTGTCAATGAAGAGTTAGGCTATATCACTTGCTTTTTCTTTTTACTTATTCTGTGACATTTTTATCTTCTTTGCACTATTTTGTAAATACAAACAGAAAGAGTAAATAAACACACTTTTGACTGACAAGAATGCGCTTCCATTTATCTTTGAGAAAACGTAACTACACAATTATTTTTTTCACTAAAATGTGCTGGAACTCTTTATTTATCCTAAACAATAAGAGAATGAGTATGTATTCTACTCAAAACATGTAATACCATCAACAACACCCACAGATCCTGAAGTCAACCAAAGAAAATGAACTTACGAAGAAC